TGACCCTCTGGCAGCAGCAGATGAGGGATGGGGGTAGGAGAGGCACTGAGAAACTGAGAGGAAGGCCGGATGTTTGGAAACCTTAAGTTATTTCTGATCTATTTCTGCCAGTCAAGGAACACATATTGTATTTCTTTTCTATTAGCTTTTTCAGGTCTTTATTAAACAAGGAAAAGCACTTAGTTCACTGTACTTGCTGGTTAATTAGGTAAAAATAAATTTCCATATATGGACAGGGCTCTTCATATTAGTATTCAGCCCAATGGTCATAGGATAGTGTCTCAGAAATAGAGGCTGGTGCTGTGGCACAGCAGGGTAAGCGGCTGCCTGCAACACCAGCACCCCAGATGAACAGCAGTTCAAGTCCTGGCTGCTCCCTGCTAAGCCCTGGGAAAGCAGTGGAAAATGATTCAAGTGTTTGGACCCCTGCCACTCATGTAAGAGACCCAAATGAAGCTCCTGGCTCCTGGCTTCCCAGCCCTTCTGGCCATTTCGGGAGTGAACCAGTGGATGGAAGATCTCTGTCTCTCTTCCTCCCTCTCTGGAACTTTGCCTTTCAAATAAATACACAAATATTTTTAAAAAATAGAATAGCTGAAACTTTCTGAATGATACTGTCTCCTAACCTTATTTTTAAATGTCTATTAGATATGAATTCCATAAACACTTTGCTCCTTCATGAATGTATGTTACAAGGTAAGAACTTAATAAATGCATGTAAATGAATATGTGAATGAATGAATAATAGATCACTCTGTATTCAGAGTGTCCCTTATCTGAGAAGCAGGACAAGGAGCCCACCCTTGGGCCCACTGGAATTGGTCCCTATTCTCATCCATACCTAGTGTCTGAAGGTTGTACCATGATCATTTAAATGGAGTCTGGTTTGGGAGCTAACAAATAAGAAAATGCACTCAGGAAGTATGAGTTTGAGCCTTTGGTCTTTACAGTCTAGCCAACAAGGCCACTAATGGCAAAGGGAGCATTTCTGGTGCCCTTTGAATTGCCTGGCAGAGTGGCACCTGGCAAACAGTGCTCTGTCGCTGCTCCTGGCCTCGCCAGCCCATCCCTCTCCACAAGGAACATAAAGCTCCCTGAGAGCTTGCTGCCAGGGAGCATCTGTTGAGCTGGCATTGACTCCTGTGGGAACAGCGCCAACGAGCCTGGGAAGGGAGAAGAGAAATCAGTTTGGATAGGAAAATAGAAGGTTGAGAGGTGTGGTGCTTTGTTACATTAAAGACTTAACAGGCCTTTAATTTCTATAGCAATGCACAGGGGAATTGATTGAGGAAGTGTCTGAAAGCCTCTCTCTGACCCAGTGCTGGCAATGCTACTCTACAGAAGGCACGAGGCACTTAGGCGAGATGTTCATTGCAGCTGCTCCACCTGCCAATCCTCTTCCTCACTGTACATGCCCTCATGGGGATGAGACCAGACAAAGACCCCTCCTGTATTTCCCAGGGACTGCCAAGCAGATGGATGTTAATGTGGGACTTCAGAGTCTACTTTTCTACTTGGATGGGGAACTGAGAGGGAAAGTCTGCCAGGCTTTATGTTCAAAAGCTGTCAACCAACATTGTCACAATCCACAAATTTCAGCCTCTGAGGCCATTCACATCACAGGTTCACTCTTTTTCACAAACACAGTTTCTGTACCACCACAATTTTCCCAGGTTTGCTCATCTGAATATTTAGTTTCTCTCCACTGGCCTGTGAGATACATTAGGGCATAGACTCTGTTATTTAACTTCAATTTCCAGAGCCTGGCACAATGCCTGGGAAGCACAGTAATTCAATGAATGTCTGGTGATTGCTTGCATGCATATACCAGACTAGCAAAGGAAAAAATCTGGCTTCCGTGAGCAAGTGGGCTGGTAAATGGCACTTTTTATGATATTATTCACTAGAAGGTATCTCTACAACCTTCCATAAACACTACCTTTTTATGACATTTATCACATTAAACATCCTATTATGGTTTTTGGGTATATCTTGTGTCTCCCTATAAATTCATTGGAAGCAGGATCCAGGTGCTTTTCAAATATTTTATCTATCCTCTCTCTCAATCAATAAGTGACTGAATATCTAAATGAGCAAATGCTTATTGGCCAAACCTTATTAAAATATCAGATCTTTCAAAACCTCCCAATGTAAGCACCAAAAGACTTTTTTAAAAAGAAAGTTCAGCCTCCAGAAAAACACTTGCAGAAATTTATGTTGGCACATTAACCAAAGACAACACTGAGAAGACAATACCAAGTGGCTGAGAAAACAAATAAATAGCTTTGAGGCAGATGCAGAGTGGAAAAATCGTGAACTCAACAGAAAGCCTGGCCTCACCCAGAACATAGGAGATCAGAGATGACAGCCAGGATGGGCTACAGAATGATGTGCCATTGGCCAAAACTTGTGAATGATTCACAGTGCAAATTAACCATGTCTGTAAGAGACCGCATTGACAAAACTGACAGGAATCAATTCTGCAAGTTATTTGTCAGGCATATTGAGGCCAGAGTTCTGTGCGAGAAACATGGCAGAAGAGAATTCTGTCATGCATAGTTATGCACAGTGGCATACAGACAGAACAGAGGCCAACAGTGGGTAGAGAGAAGCCTTGATTCAGAGGGCAGGGTTTCTCTTTGCTGCAGGGTTCCCTTATAATTAACCAATTAGGGCCATAGCTCTGTTTCCGGTGGCAGTTTTCTCTGCCATAGAGAATGAGGTCACAGCTCTAAACACAGAGCTATAAAGCATCTAGGTGATGAAGAATAGCTTCAGATATACTAGAATCATTCCCAGGAGGTGCCTGGATGCATGTGTGGTATTCTTAGCCTCAGTAGGAAGAGTTTCTCAGGGGAATTAAAATGAATTTTGACACTACCTTTTAAGTCCCTATTTACATCCCTATCACATGACTCTGACAAAAGAGACTGAATATTACTGGATCTATTAAGCAACCCTAGGGGCTGGAATAGGTCAAAAAGTGTCCCTATGAACTCTGGAATAAGCAATCAGACCATTACTCAGTAGCACTCAATGTGATACTGCATTTGAAAGGAACTGCTTAATATAATCTATTATGCATATGACAGAACTACTTAAACTGTTAGGGCCTATTCAAATTTAACATAGTACTGTTACAATTATTTAGATGATGTCAATTTTGCAGAGAAACCAAAAGCATTCATTGGCTCACATCTATAGCAGAGGGGAACAAATGCACATTAGCCAGTGGAGGGACTTTCAGGGAGAGAAAACAGAGGCACTGCCGCGGTATTCTAGAGCTGGAGTGATGATAAAGCTGGGCATCTTGTTTTTACGACGACTTCATTGCTACCGCTAAAAGACAACTCTCCCACCCCTCTTCTGCCTTGGTTTACAAGAATAGGAGGTCACAATATTTACGGAAGGATCAAAGCATGAAAAAGATAATCAAGTCTCCTGGTTTTTGTGACTTTTCAAGCTGAAAGGTCTGTAAGTGAAAATGAGCAGAAAGCAAAGACTTGGACTGTCTCTGGGCTGATTTCCTCCTCCTAATTGGACAATGGGATCTAATACCTGGGGGCTGGGTTAAAAGGACCAAAGGAGATTCTGCCACAATGGGTGGGTGAAACAGACTAAGGGACCCTCAGAGGCTCAGAGCAGTGGGAAAAAGAGGAACCAGGAGTATTGGAAGCATTCAAAGAGGCAGCTCCCCGGCTGGCTCCCGTTTCCACTCATACTACAGCTCTTTGTTAACAAGCCCCTTACATGTGTTCAGCCAGAGGCCATGCAAAGACAGGAGCCCTGCAGTGCAGGCAGGATGTGAGCCCTGCCCTTCAGAGGAGGTTGGGACACTCCTCCGCCAGAGGAAAATTCCCACTCAGCTAGTCGGGTCGGGACAGCATCTGGGCGGCTTTCCTCCGGGTCAGGAATGAGGCTGGGGCACAGGACTAGGGAAGGTTCTGAGGCAGGTCAGGCTACATAGCTTCCTAATGAGAACCAGGAACCAAGGAAAGCAGCCGTGGTGCAGCTGTAGGGAGAAAAGTCTTCCACACAAAAATTCACAAGAACGGTTACCTCTGTGGAAGAGGTCGGAACTGGGTGGGTGGCTGGGGGGGATGCAAAGGCACTTCAGTCTTGCCTGTAATGGCCATATTTAAGATGAAACTAAAAGTGATTTTAAAACGACTTAAATGTGAAAAATTCATAAAGAGAAGAAAGGGAGAGATGGAGAGAGAGGAAAAAAGACAGGCAGACCAAACAGCCAAGGTCTCCCGGGTGCTGGCCCAACGCAATCCCAAGGGATGGGGCTCAAAGGCAGTAGAGGCCATAGGCGGCAAACCAGAGAAGCAGATGGAATAAACAGCCATGGTGGGAGAAAAGGAGTGGGGCAGAGAATGACCCCTGGGCAGCTCGAACCCCACCCAGCCCCACTGTCACTGGCTCCCCTGCCTCGGGCCCAGAACCCAGTCACCCCTGCAGAGCTGCTCAGTCAACCGTGTCCTAGGCTGTAGAAGTATTTACTGCCCCGGGTTCTGGAGGGGGCGCTTCATGTGGAGCGCCCACAGCCTCCTGCCCACTCTCAAACTTTCTACCAATGCCATGCCTCGCCACCCCACCCCTCCCAGGGCTCCTGAAACAGAATGAGCACTTCTAACACATATTAAGGGCTCCCCTGAGGATTTGCTCTGGGCTTTTCCCGCGGGAGGGTGGAGATCACTTCTTCTGCAGAGATGACTTCGAATCTGTGGTCCTGCCCTCTGGGCTCAGGTAAGCTTACCAGAGAAGGTCATCGCCCCGCTCAGCTTAGCGGGAGGCGGGCGGCCCTTTTGATTTCTCCGGGTTCGCCTTTCTGCACCGCACCCACCACTCTAGCCCCCTTAGGGCTCTGCGGGTGATCTGCTCCGGGGTTCCGGAGACTATGGGACTGTGGGGCCACAGGAGGACCCCTTCTGGAAATTAGGCGGGAGGCGCTGGGGGAGGGGAGCTGGGGAGTGGGCGGAGCAGGGCAGTTTTACCTCATTGAAGCCCTCCTGCAGGACGTCCAGTAAGTTCCCCCGGGCCAGGCAGGCTAGCATTGTTGCTGCCCCGGGCCAGGTCTCCAGCCAGGCAGTCGCGGCCGCCGCCTCCTCCCTCTGCACACAAAGGCTCCCAGCTCAGCTCTTGGGGATCTCTCCGGAGTCCCGCATGCCACTTACTGGAAACCTAGACCAGAGCCAAACTAGCGGCTTGCACTGGGCATGCTCGCACGGGGGCCTCTGCTGGAGGGGGTCCGGCGCCGTCGCGGTTCCTATAGAAACAGCTGGGCGTGCACAGGGAGGGGCGCTGGTGAGCGGCGTGTGTGCGGGAGAGCCCCGCGGTCGCGCGAGCTGGAGGGCTGGCGGGCGCGCGCGGCACACACGCACACACACACCCTCCCCGCGGCGGGGCGGGTGTGCGTGCGTGCGCTACACACACGGCCACGCACCGGGCTTGCAGGAGGGCGTGCTGGCATGTGCGTGCGCGCTGCGTGCTCACACACATGCATGCACACTCACCCGAGGGCACACAGGCGGCCTGCTGCCGTGTGCATGCGCCTGCAGTCGCAATCACTCACACGCACACCAGCCTTGCGGGAAGGAGTCTTCTCCCTCTCCCTCAGCCTCTCCTCCTGCCTCCTGATTTAAAGTCACAAGCCACCACCACAAGGTGGGTGGGAAACAGAGTGAATCATAGGTGTTTTTCATCCAGACTAACCGAGAACAGCAACCTTTTTCCACATGGGGCCTAGACAGTGAGGTCACACTAAATAAGAGGAAGCAGAAAGGGAAGAAACAAAAAGAGAAAGAGAAGAAAGGGCTGGAGAATAGGACAGCCAGCACTTCAGTTATTCATGGTATTGGAACACATTTTAGGTAACAAAGCTGAACAAACCACACCCACCACAGCACAAACATCCAGGGTATTAGCCAAGGATGACCAAGGTTTTAGCAAAATATGTTTCTTCTTTCTTCTTAAAGTAACTGCTAAAATGTAAGATCCACATTTTACGAAGTTCTTATTTAAAAAAAAAAAAAGAGAGAGAAGAGGATGGGAGGCAGAGAAGGGAAGAAAGGGCGTATCATTATGTTCTCAGAACTGTATCTACAAATCACATTGCATCTGTTAAAAACAAATTAAAAATTAAAATAAAAAAGTCTTTATTTCATTTTTATTTGAAAAGCAGAGAGAGAAACAGATATCTTTCATCCACTGGTTCACTCTCCCAAATGCCCACAACAGGCGAAGTTTGGCCAAGCTGCAGTCCACAATGCAATCCAGCTCTTCCACATGAGTGGCAGGGACCCAAGTTCCCAGGGTGCCTATTAGCAGGAAGCTAATTGGAAGAGGAGCTCGGACTTGAACACAAGTACTCCAATACGGGACGCAGATGTCTCAAGCTGCATCTTAACCTCCGTGCCAAATGCTTACCTCAAAACTCGTATTTTTAATGAGCTTCAAGACAAATGAGCTTTAAACAACAAAAACATCCTGGTGCACTTGAAATAATAGGTAAGAGTCTCTTCAAGGGAGATAGCTATTTCCCTCTGTTTCTAGCTATGGAAGTCAAAGCCTTGATTATATAAGAATATATTATATTTATTATATTATATATTATATGTATTATATTATATATAAATAATACTTTATTATAGAAAGAATACCAATCAGTTGCACTCTCAGTGCAAACTCTTGTTTTCGTGGGAAAACTGGATGCTGAAAAAAAAAAACACTCATATCACATTGCACCTTCTGATCAAAGATGGAGAGAAAGTGTTTATAGAGTGTTCTGGTTCAGAGAAGGTCAGGGATCGGCCCAAGGACACAGCCAGTCAGTGATGAGCAGTTCAAAGACCTAGGATCGTACATTTTCCCTCAATAGTACCTTAGCAAGAAAAATCAGTAATGGCTCTTATTCAACTGAATGACCTCCTTCCAGAGAAAAAGAAAATACTTACCAGGAACAGCCAGATTAGCAATAACTTATCTGAATGTCTAAACTGCTAACATAAAGATGCTCCACCATCTTGATTATAACAGGCTGGGAGCAGTGGGCCAGCACAGGTGTTGAGCAGTTGCTGCAGCTTGAATGCTATTGGTTCAATTCTGACCAAAGCTGGAGAAAAGCTATGATAGCAAATCAAACTGACCCCAAGCAGCCCACAAGTCAGAAGACTGATGTCATTCAAAACCTAGGTGAGGAGTTTAATTGCCAAGAACTCCTCTTGCCACTACTACAGTTCTGGAGAATCACTAACCCATATTAATACAACGAGGCCTTTTACAAAGAGAAATACGGAGGTAGGCATTTGGCCTAGTGTTCAAGATGACCATGTCCTATACTGGAGTACTTGGGTTCCATACTGGCTTCCAGGTCCTGACTGCAGCTCTGCTGATGCAGGTCCTGGGAGGCAGCAGTGATGGCTCAAGTGATTGGGTTCCTGCCACCCATATGGGAAATCTGTACTGAGTTCCCGGCTCTCAGCTTTGGCCCAGCTCATTCCCAACCATTGCAAGCATTTGGGAGTTCTCTATCTTTTCTTTGTGTCTCTCTAGCATTCAAATAGCTTTTTTTTTCCAAAAAAAAAATGCATTAAAAAAAGACAAAGTATGAAAATTCCAACAGCACAGAATTGCAAGGCAAATCATGTGAAATCAAAACACTCTGTTGGTAGATACTTGGGTGGAGGATCTTGATGGGCTGAGACTTCATCATGCTTTGAATACAACATAAAATATTAAGACATCTCACGGGGGCCAGAGTTGTGGTATAGTGGGTTAAGCCTCCACCTTTGGCGCTGACCCATGTGGGTACCTATTTGAGTCCTGGTTGCTCCATTTCTGGTCCAGCTCCCTGCAAATGGCCTTGGAAAGCAGTGGAAAATGGCCAGAGTGCTTGGCCCCTGTACCCATGTGGGAGACCTGGAAGAAGTTCCTGGCTCCTGGCTTCAGATCAGTGCAGCTCCGGCCATTGCAGCCATCTGGGGAGTGAACTAGCAGATGGAAGACCTCTCTCTTTCTGTCTCTACCTCTCTCTCTCTGTAACTCTGTCTTTTAAATAAATAAAATAAATCTTTAAAAAGAAGAAGAAGAAGAAGAAGAAGACATCAGAGGGAGGTCCTGCTGACAATTATCTATGCTAAAAGGTCACTATTTCTCAACCAAAAAGTCTTTGATCTAAGTAGGACCTATGAGCTCAATATTTCTATGAAAAAGAATTATTAAAGGGCCAGCGCTGCAGCTCACTAGGCTAATCCTCCGCCTTGCAGCGGCAGCACACCGGGTTCTAGTCCTGATCGGGGCGCCAGATTCTGTCCTGGTTGCCCCTCTTCCAGGCCAGCTCTCTGCTATGGCCTGGGAGTGCAGTGGAGGATGGCCCAAGTGCTTGGGTCCTGCACCCGCATGGGAGACCAGGATAAGTACCTGGCTCCTGCCATCGGATCAGTGTGGTGCGCTGGCCGCAGCACACCAGCCGCGGTGGCCATTGGAGAGTGAACCAACAGCAAAAGGGAGACCTTTCTCTCTGTCTCTCTCTTTCACTGTCCACTCTGCCTGTCAAAAAAAAAACACAACGAATTATTGAATCAATGATTTAAAGATTTATTTATTTATTTGAGAGGCAGAGTTACAGAGAGAGAGATGGAGAGACAGAGAGATCTTCCATCCCCTGGTTCACTCCCCAAAAGGCCACAACAGCCAGAGCTGGAACGATCCAAAACCAGGAGCTAGGAATCTCCTCTGGGTCTCCCTCATGGGTGCAGGGGCCCATGCACTTGGGCCATCTTCCAATGCTTTCCCACACCATTTGCAGGGAGCTAGATCAGAAGTGGAACAGCCAGGACTCTAACCGGCACCTATGTGGGATACGGGAACCACATGTGGAGGCTTAACCTACTATGCCACAGTACCAGCCCCTAAATTACTGAATTTTAAAACTCAAAAACTTTGTGTGGGGCCAGCGCTGTGGCACAGCGGGTTAAAGCCCTAACCTGAAGCACCAGCATCCCATATGGGCACCGATTCTAGTCCCAGATGCTCTTCTTCCAATTCAGCTCTCTGCTCTGGCCTGGAAAAGCAATAGAAAATGACCCAAGTCCTTGAGCCCGTGCACCCATGTGGGAGACCTGGAAGAAGCTCCTGGCTGCTGGCTTCCGATCAGCACAGCTCCAGCCATTGTGGCCATCTGGGGAGTGAACCAGCAGATGGAAGACCTCTCTCTGTCTCTACCTCTCTCTGTAACTCTTTCAAGTAAATAAAATAAATCTTTAAAAAGAATTCACATGATCCAACTCCCATATTTTTTTTTAAAGATTTTTAAAAAGTTATAGAGACAGGGCCAATGCTGTTGCGCAGCAGGTTAACGCCTTGGCCTGAAGTGCCGGCATTCCATATGGGCACCAGTTCGAGTCCTGGATGCTCCTCTTCCCATCCAGCTCTCTGCTATGGCCTGGAATAGCAATGGAAGATGGCCCAAGTTCTTGGGTCCCTGCACCCACGTGGGAGACCTGGAAGAAGCTACTGGCTCCTGGCTCCTGGCTCCCAGCTTCGGATCGGCGCAGCTCCAGCTGTTGCAGCCATCTGGGGAGTAAACCAGCAGATGGAAGACCTCTCTCTCTGTCTCTACCTCTCTCTGTAACTTTGTCTTTCAAATAAATAAAATAAATCTTTGAAAAAAAAGTTACAGAGACAGAGTAGAGAGGGAGAGAGAGCAATCTTCCATCTGGCGGTTCACTCCCCAAATGGCCACAATGACCAGGGCTGGGCCAGGTCAAAGCCAAGAGCCAGAGCTTCTTCCAGGTCTCCTATGTGGGTGCAAGGGCCTCAGCACTTGAGCCACCTTCTACTGCCTTTCCAAGGCCATTAACAGGGAACTAGATTGAAAGTGAAGCAACCAGGTCTTGAACCAGTGCCCATATAGGATGCCTGTTCACAGGTGGAGGCTTAACCTGCTACGCCACTATGCTGGTCCCCCAACTTTCATATTTCATGTAAGAAGGAGCCAAGGCTATAAGATGTGTTCACAATCATTCAGCAAGTAAACATGGGAGCTAAGATATAAACGAAACCCTCTGAAGCCCAGCCCTATACTTTTTGCACTGCCCCTCACAACATGTTAGAGAAATTGAGAACTAGTGGTAAACTGATAAAAGATTTGTTATAGATGGGAGAGGGCCACCATTTTGAGCAACCCTAGTGACAGGAGCCTAAGCAACAGCGCTGATCGTCCCCATTTCCCCTCTCCCTTCCCTTCTGTGGTTGATTTCCCGGGCCCCCTATACTCCACAACCCCGGCTCTGCCATGTCCCAGAAACAAGAGAACCCTGCTGAGGAGACTGGCGAGAAGAAGCAGGACACACAAGAGAAAGAAGGTATTCTCCCTGAAGGAGCTGAGAAAGCAAAGCTAAAGGCCAAATAGGCAAGCCTAGGGCGAAAGCCCGGAGGCTCTGACTTCCTCATGAAGAGGCTCCAGAAAAAGCAAAAGTACCTTGACTCAGGAGACCGCAACATGGCCAAAGCCAAGATGAAGAATAAGCAGCTGCCAAGGGCAGGACCAGACAAGAACCTGGTGACTGGTGACCACATCCCCACCCCACAGGATCTGCCCCAGAGAAAGTCCTCACTCATCACCTGCAAGCTTGCCGGTGGCCAAGTTGAACGATGCTGCCTGGGGCTCCGCCAGATCCTGAGACACTGCCCCTGGTTCCTGGGCTGGCTCCTGTCCCTCCCTGCCTTTGCAGCCAGGGGTCAAGTGGTGGCTCAGGTGCTGGAGAGGCAGAAGCCCCTGCCTGTTGGTGTCCCGGCGCATGGAGCCCCTTGGGCCTGGCACCAAGACCTTTAACCTTTTTTGTTTTACCTTTTTTCCAAATAACTGTTGGGAAAACATCTCAATGAAATCCTGGGGGTGGGGTTGAGAGGGTGAGGTGGGAGATTTGGAGGAATATGAATTAGGGCTGGAAGCCGATCAGAACATTCCTGACTATCCTTTTTAACCACGCAACTGGTGTGGGCTGCTGTGAGAGGGAGGAGGTGGAGCAGACTGGAGCTAAGGGACTC